TCCCGGGCCCCTCCGGTGGCCAGCAGCAGCCGCTACAGTGTCCGCTGCCGGCTGTACAACACGCCCATGCAGGCCATCTCTGAGGGAGAGACAGAAAATTCCGACGGGAGCCCACACGACGACCGCTCCTCCCAGAGCTCAACATAGGCTGCCTGTGGCCAGCTGCCTGTCAGATGCCAAAACCCTTAGTCATATGAGGATGTAGGAATGGGACAGAGGACTTGGGAGAAGTTGCAACACGATGGGGTAGCATCACTGCTTAGCAATGAATTTCTAAATACAGTACATGCTGGGGAAACAGAAAGTGGTTTATTCATTCTTGATTAGTTGCCATGTTTTAAGTAGCTGTACTGTCTTTCATGTTTTTCTTTAGCATAGTTTGATTTACCCAATCTCATTCCTTGTGATAAGAGAGAACACAAAAATGTCTAATTTTCATGAAACTTAGAAAAAGTTTTCCCAGAGCTGCCTATTCAGAAAATAAAGCCCTCACTGTCATGATTCTTTAAGAAGATGAAATTACTCTGGAGGTTTGGTATTTTTTTACATTAAAACAAACTAAAGCAAAATTTAGAAGAAAGAACTACACATATGTACATACCATATTTTTGATAAAAATGTGTAAATAGATTTATCAATGATGAGTGGACATGTGGTCAATTATCTACCGCACACCAACTGTTTATAGAACACACAAAAATAAAGTGTAATAACTGTATTCTGTGAATACCATTTTCATATCAAATACCATATTTAAATGTCCACCAATATGATTTCTGAGTGGTAAACTTCAAATATGAATTTTAAACTGGTGAAATAAAGGAAATCTTGAGGTCATATACTGAAACGTGATTAATTTAAAATAATGAATTCAGACCTAATCATTTTTGTGACAAATTGCAGCACCAAACAAGCTAATAGCAACTCATGGCTGTGATTTGCCACATGGTAATTTGGACCGAATGAAAAGCATGCTTTTTTTTTTTAATCAATGAGAGAAGTCATCATTCTCAACACAAAGCCCTAACAACAGCATTTGACAGTGTCCTTTAGACTTTAATTTTTTTGATGGATTGCTTTAAAGAGAATGAGTAGGGAAAACAGTAGTTAATTTTAGATTATGTTTTATATTAGGCTACTGGGGAGGTAAATAGTCATAATCTAATGACTATGATCTTTAAACTCCTTAAACAGTTTAGCAATTAGCTACAGGTTCTTAAACTAACAAAAATAAAACCTAAGCATGCCACAGAGCTATTGATTTATCAGTAAGTACCTGTAATGAGTTTTCAGTGAAGCTTTCTCTCTGTGCTGATGAGATTCATGCTACCTAAAAATTAACAGAAATGACACTGTGAACAATGTAGTTGGGAAATAGGTATGTGTATATGCATTATTTATATTCATTGTTAAACTGGGAATGGGGAACAGCTCTGGTTCACAATGCTACATACAACTGAGTTTTTGTCTGGTTTTACTATAGTATCTGCTTGATGGCAAAAGGGGGAGGGTGGTGGGTGGGAGAGGAAATGTCAGGGCAAGTGCTCTGATCAAATGAAAGCAGGGAAACAAGCTGAATTACTTGAAATTACTTGAATTTTCTTGTCTTAAAACTGAAAAAAGATGAGTTACAAGTTGAAATCTGCAAATGGTTTTTACACCTCTGATTTTAACATGAACTGATGCTGTTTGGAATCAAATGTCAGCAACATAAGCAGCTATGTACTTAGAATAGGTTTTGAATGGGAGAGGTAGAAAGTAGAGAGAACTAAGAAGGGATCTGACCTACAAAAGACTAGAATGTGACTAGAATGCTAGAACATACAAAGGTTACCAAGAAATTGACAAGCAGCTGCCTTTAAGCTTATGCAAGTGGTAGTTGGGAAAGTAGGAGGTGTGAAAGGGGGTTTGTGGTTTGGGATTAATTCATGCAAAATGAAGAAGGAAGCCTGGTCTACGAAGATACTGTCTTTCAATAGAAATGCTTTCTAAAATGCTACAGATTAAGAATTTAGAGAATCTGATTGCTGTTGGTGTTTTGTTTGTTTGGAAAGAAAAAAAAAAAAGTCTGGCTTCTAGTATTTGTTTTCACTACCAAATTGTGTTACTAAATTTCTTGTCATCCTTGTATGTAAATTGGGTACTGGGGGTGGAGGGGTAGAGGAGGAGGGAGAGAGGGAGAGAGAAAGAGTGTGTGTGTGTGTGTGCATATGTGTGTGTGTGTGTGTGTGTGTGTGTGTGCTGGGGTTAGATAAGCTACCTGGTAAAGGGTTTGAACATTTACAAAGTGTTACACTTTTTATTAAAATAAAAAATGTTTTGGGGTTTGAAAAAATGGACCATCATTTCTCATTGGAACCCATTAGTTAAGAAAACCAGCATGGTTTGACACCACATGGGAACATGAATAAATCTGACTCATGCTTTGAAAAGTACACTTTACAAAATTTTAAAAATAAAGTTTTTAGACAAATGTGATAAGAAACCGTCATTTCCAGTCACAATAGGTGATCTTTTGTAATTTTCATAAAAGCAGTTCGTTTGCAGTATGGCTTTTGTGTATTTAGGGGTTTTTTAAGCGTGAAGAAAGGTATGTGGACTTTAAAAGTGATTCTAAATCTTGAATAGAAAACACATGAATTGGCTTTAATAAAAATGTCACCTTGTTGTTATTGACATTAATTTAAGTAATGGTACCATATATATTTTAAAATACATATTGACTTGAATTGTGAGGCAATAAGATACCTTCTATATGTAATGATCACAGAACTAACCCTTATAATATAGTTTTACTTATTTTGTTTACTCTAAAAGTCTATAGCAGAGTTTCTCTATTTTATATTTCATAGATTTAAAAAAAACCCAAATAGAGATGGAATTTAAATTCACTGTGCAAAAGAGTATTGAGCAACAAACTTAGAAAAAAAGCAAGAAATTCCTTAGTAATCTGGAATATTCTACATGGCTTTATTACATAGCAAACATGACCAAGATTTAGGGCTGTCTTTATCATCACTGCCATCTAGAAGCAGGGCACACACGTTAGGTATTGTGAAGAACATCAATCTGAACTTTTCTTCTGTTGTTTGCACTGATGCTAATTTTTTGTTCTTTTATGTTTATGCAACATGTCTATCATGTCTAAGTTGTGGGGGGGAATTTTTTTCCTTTTTATTTTTTGATTCTTTTTTTTTCTTTTCTCTTTCTCTCTCTCTCTTTTTTTTTTTTTTTTTTTTGGTTTTGTTTTGTTTTTGGCTAAGTAGAGGACATGGACTAGTTGTAGCAAACAAAACATGCTGTTTGCTCTTGCCAAAAGTCAGTATGTTTGCTGCAGTGGTGGCACTTAGAGAACTAGATCATAACCAAGAGTTAAAACAATGAAGAAGGTTACAGCGTAACTATTTTGGTACTAGAACCAGTTCATGCTGGCCGAAAAGACAATGGTTTATGGACTTGCATCCATTTTGTATTTTTGTAATATTTGTAAATATGAACTTTTTAAATTGTTGCAAAGATGGTTTCTTTTGTAAAATGTTTTCAACGTTTACATTCAATCCAAGCCTTTGTATATTTTAGAGCTGTGCAACACTTTAAGTCTTGTATTTATTTTTAGTAAAAACGGTGACAGTTTCATTGTGAACCCCTCAAAAATGTATCAGAAAAGTTTGATTACCTAGAAAGTGTGTATAGAAACTGCAAATAAACGTGACTGCAATTAAATAACCAGTTTCTCATTCTTGCGGTTTCACAAAGTATTTTATAGACAACTGGACATAAAGGAGAGATCTGTTATGGCAAAAGTACAAACAAAAAGAATGTGTACTATAAAAGGCTCTAATCTAGATTCATATTTCAAAGGAAAAACAATGCATTTCTGACGTCCAGTATACTTTCCTTGTAGTTCCTCTCTGGGCCAGGAAAAGATTCATGGCATTAGTTTGGAATATCTCCCTGCTTTGCTTCTGATAATTACTCAGACTGTGCCTCCTTCCCAAGATGCACAGACTCGATATATGTAAGACAGTATGCCACTAGATAATGTCATGTAGCCTTATTATTTAGCAAACTTCTATGACAAGTACGTACTTTCTTAAGTGCTTTGCATACAAGAACTCATGTAGTCCCCATATTGTGCCCATTTTACAGATTGGGAAACTAAAGCACAGACGGTTACTTGGCTTGCCCAAGGCCATAGAGCGACTAAGTGTTGGAGCTGGGGTTCAAACCCACCAAATCTGGCTCCAGGGTCTGTATTAGTTCTCCACTACAACCTGTAATTGTTGATGACTGGAAATAACTTTCCCTATGTCCCTACCAGACCACCATGCTCAGAGCAACTACTAAGCCCCGCCCAATTCAAATTAAAGCACTAGCGTTCACATCTGGAACCCAGTCCACGTTGATATCTCCGTTGCGTCACAAGGAGAGGGGGGAGGGGCGGGATCACAGCGGACACTGGGGAGGTCACGCACCTAACCGCTGCATCCTCGAACCACCACCGCCGCCAAAAGAGTCACGCAAGAGTCACGCATGCCTGCCAGCTCTGCTGTGCAGCCGCAGGTGCAAGGCTTGCACCTCTGGGGCCTAACGCCTACTGTAGTTCCAATCCAAGCAAGGCACCGCCCCCACAGCTGTCTCCCTAGCAACGCATTCCCCCCCCCCTCCGCCGACAGAGGCCCATGCGGGCGCCCACGGGATTGGCCGGTCAACAGCCCTAGGCGGTCGTCGATTGGTCAACGGAGCAGTCCCGCCTGCTACCATGCACGTGGGAACTCGTGAGCCACGCGCGCTCAGTGGTTTACCCCCGGGTCAAGGCACCTTTTGGGCTCGCGACAAGTGCGCCGCGAGGTCACGCGGGGTTTCCGGCGTGAGAACCGTTTCAGAGCGTGGAGAGGCCATAACTGTTTTAGTCGTTGCTGATCGGGGAAGTAGGATTACCGCGAGCCTCGGAGGGCGGCGTAGCGGACTCTGGCACCAAAGTAGGTGTGTCCAACAGTACTTTTTACTCACCTTGAACTTTCTTGACTCAAGTGTGCGCGCGAGGACGAGTTGCGGAGCACATTCCTGTTAAGCGATTTGGCTTAACGGTTGGGGCTCTGTGGGGGGAGGGGCTTTGCTTTGCGGGACAAATGTCAGCCGCGCTGCGGTGAGGTGGTTTGAGTGGCTCCCATGACTCTCCCGGGATGCCAGCGCGTGTGAGCTTTTGAGATTTGGCAGTTTATTAGGTACTTGGTGCTGACTTTCTGGGACGAGTTGATCCTTTTTCAGCCCTTCTCTTCTTGGTGGAGGCGGGTGGGAGGGCGAGGAAGGACCCAGACTCTGACTTTCATAGAGTTTTGTGTTTAAAGAATGGACAGGCTCGCGAGTTGATTCATGTAAAATCTTGTGAGATTGAGATGCAGATTTTGAGGCTGTGATGGTAACCGGGTTTGAGCAAAGACAGTGCAGCCTCGCTGTTTTATTGTAAATACATAAAAGAAGGGGAAGAAATAAAAATGGGGGGGGCGGGTATTGTGCAGCCCACAGGCTGTCTGGTCATTTGATAGAAAAGGTTCTGCTTTAGTCTGTGGGGGGTCGCTTCCCTCCCTCCTACCCGGCTCTGCTTGAGTTCGAACTGTTCTAGAGTTTTATAACACGAAGTAGCAAACTGGTTTAAGATTTACAGAGAGTGATTTTGTAAGCAACTGTTCTGCAAGGTGTTTTATATAGCGGGATATGGGCTGGATGAGGTTTGAGTCTCCCGTCTGCCCGCAGCAGGTGCTGGGCGATGAGAGACAATTTTGGCCGCGTTGTCCACCATCTGGCAGACTTTAGAGTGATATGCACAATGGAAGGGCTGCCTTTGAGAGTCATGCTGGAAGATTTAAAAGTGTATTAACACACTGTTTTGTTTAAACAAATTGGAGTGGTCCAGGTGTTGTAATCTGCCCTCTTTTGCTATGTATTCCTTGAAATGGTCTTGGGGTGAAACGCCGTTTTCAACCCTCATCGTGAACTGTGCCTTATCTGATAAATTGATAGCAAGTGAATGCCTTGAGAACAAATCTTCTCATGACTTTTGAAAATGTCTTTAATGTCTAAAAAAATGTTTCTTAAAAAGAAGATGCCTTTTTGTTCTTGTCAAGAGTTTATATTTCTATCGTAAAATATAAATGAGTTCCCTTCAAATAAACTCATTGCAGGATTTTGGATTTAAAATGCAATTAATTAATTTTGCACAATCTAGTCTTGGTTGAGCTTTAAGAAAATGTTTATTAACCTTGTGGGAAGAAGTTAAAAGGAGCTAGAATTTATGGTGTGCCTGCTATGAACCAAGCCTGATGCTGAGAGCTTCACTGTGTCATTTGGTCTTGCATAGCCCTGTGAAGTGGATATTATTCCAACTTTACAGGTTAGAAAATTGAGGCACAGAGAGGTTAAATATCTGCCTAAAGTGAATGGCAAAGTTTGAAATTTAGACTTAGATTCAAGTGTTTTTGACCAAAGCCCTGTTCTTTACATCATGCCCTGATACCTAAAAGATGTAAAAATTTGTTTACAAAAATGCATTGTTATATCTGTAATGTACTGGTGCAATATGAATACAAATTACATGTTATGACCCTGAAGGTTTGTTGTCGATGTGCTCCATGATACATAGTTCTGTTGGGTAGATGTGGTGAATACCCAAATAATAATAGTAACCAACAGTGGGCACCCTTTCTATCTTTTCCAGGCTTTGTTCTAAGCACTTGACGTATTAATTCATTTAATCCTCATAACTCTGTGAGTTTGTACTATTATCATCCTCATTTTATAGCCTTAAAAAAAAGAAGCAGCACAGAGAAGTTAAGTAATTGTCCAACTTATTTACATAACTAATAAGAGGGGGAGGCGGGATCCAAACCCAGGTATTCTGGCTGCAATCCTAAGGTCTTAATGCTGTTTGGAGCTGCCTCTCATGTAACAAGATATGTGTTACAGTTGCCTTAAAGGTATTAAAGTGTGAGTGTTCTCATAGCTCATGGAAAGCAGTGTCATGTCTGGATGGGGTGATCACTGACATAGCACTTTTTCTTTTTGGAGGTGGAACTTGAATTAAGCCTTGAAATTGAATAGGTTCTCCTAGGTGGAGAGATAACAGGGCATTATGGATGGAGGATTTAACAGGAGCAAAAGGCTCAAAGAATGCAAGATCGGTGTTGATTTGTAAATGTGCCACAGAAGTAAAAATGTTGGGAGTCCAGTGGCAGGTTTAATGCACACTGCTTCTGTGTCTAACTACAGCCAAGGTTTGGCAGCTGTGTAATTAATCCAAATAAGGAATTGTCTAAATGTAAGGGCTTGCAACAGTGGTTGGCAAACTTTGTCTGCAAAAGAGCAGATACTACATATTTTAGGCTTAGAGTATAAGGGGGCAAGTGTTAAGAGGTGACCTCTGAGAGGTGGGTAGGATCCTGATTATGTAAAGACCTTGCAGACCATAGTAGGAGTATGGATTTTGTTGTGTTATTGGTGTAGAAGGGATTTCAGGTGATTATAATAAGGGAGAAGTAAAGAGCATGGAATGGGGAGGCCAACTGCACCACTTACTAGCTATGAGACCTAAGTAAATTACTTAAACGTTCTTTGCCTCAGTTTTCACATAAGGAAAGTGGGGATGGTAGTAGAACCTACCCCATAGAGTTGTCTATAAATTAACTAGATAGAATACCTAATTTGAATAAAGAGAAAGGTTCAAATTAAGGTAGAAATAGTGAATGATTTTAAATTTTGATTTTGCTCAAAATTCTGTAATTATGATGAAATGATTATCCTTCTGGATAGAAAGAATTTGTCAACACAACTCAAGTAGGATAATTTGAATAGATCAGTAACCATGGAAGAACTTAGAAAATGTTACAAAAACTGGACCCAGACTTATAAGCGCTTTCAAACCTTTAAAGCACAGAAATTCTGGTGTGATATATACCTTTTCAGAGCACATAAATAGATGAAAGTCTTGCCAATTGATGTTGTAGAGGAATTTTGATCCCAAGAGTTAATAATGTATCAATATTGCCTCATTAATTGTGAGAAATATGCCATCTCACTAATGTATTATAAGATCTTAGAAACAGAGGTGCAGAAAATTTCTAAATAAAACACCAACAAATTGAATACTGATCTTCATGATCAGGTGGGTCTCTCACCCTAGGAACATTAAGAAATGTATTAACATGTCGCATCAGTAGAGTCATTTAATCATTTAATCATCTGATGCCAAAAAGTTATTTGGTACTATTTATTATCTGTTCTGGTTTTAAAACTATATGCAGGGCCAGCAGACTACTTCCTTATTGTGTTACAGAACATGTGGCTGGCTTCAACAGCCCTCCTGGGGAAGAAGTAGAGGAGAATTTTCAAATGTGGGTACAGACCCATTATTTCTACTTCTAGGAATTTATCCCATAAAACTACATGTATAAGTGCAAGACTGTTCTGTAGTGTTCTTTGTAAGAGCAAAACTTTAGAAGTAATTTGAATATCTGTGATTTGGGGACTGGTTTAATAAATCATGACATATTTATAAGATAGGACACTAAGAATTATTGAAGTGACTGCAGTATGTGTAGATGTATTGGTTTGGAAAGACTTTTTCCACCACAGATTACTACTTTTGCCTATTTTTGAGTTTTATATCAATTGAATCATACACTGCATTCTCTTTTAGTGTCGGGCTTTTTTAAACTCAAGGTTATGGTTGTGAGATTTATCCTTGCAGTGTGCAGCAGTAGTTGGTTTATTCTCCTGCTGTGAGTCTTCTTTTGTATGAATACACCACATTTTAATTACTCATAGCTTGTATTAGTTTTATAATCAAGAAAAAACATAGTTTAAAAAGAAAAATTTGGTTGAAGTTACAGCTCAAATTGGAGATATTTTATAACTTGAAAATTTTATACAAAATTAGCCTGCATTTATCTAACTCAAGAGTTAATTCCCCCATCTTCTTTATCCCCTTTTGGTTTCTCTCTTTTGGGCCTGTGGTCATTATATGTCCACCATAGAAAGAAAGGAAAACAGGAAAGAGATGAAACCTGAGTCCCTTAATTGTGCTTCTCATTACTGCTCTGGCTCAGGGTGGATAAAGTGAATTTACTCTTTCATTAATGTGCCCCTCCCAGTAACTGTGATGCAGTCATTCAAAGCAAATCTTTTGTACAAGATGTAATCCAATAGTGTTGTAGTCAATGTCTTTTTCTAGTTCCATAGTTAAATGACTCAGAGCTATAATGGAACCTTCCTAATTCTGGATTGTTTGACTTACATTTCACATCCATTTATTTAGGTTTAATATGAAAGTTAGCTAATAAGAGCTGAAATGAACCTTAGAGATAATGAACTGGTTTTCACCTGGCAGATGAGGTGGTGGTGTCTGTAGTGGTCTGCCCAGTCTGCATAGCAATGGGGCAGGACTGGAGTAGACTCCTGGCTCACATTTTGGAGGCATGTTGGTTGCCTCCCTAAGTAAAGAGCTTTTTGAGCTCCTTTACAAAGGCATCGTGTTCTCCTGTTCATTTGTTTCCAGCATTTACCCTGTAGACTTTATGAAGCTTTCACTTCACAATTTGGAATTGGGTTTGATTTGAGTTTTATTCCTAGTCATGAGCAACATGGCCCTTCTGTTCTTAAAGACTTAAGTCTAAATTGCTCATGGAAGAATTCTTGTTTTGTCACTCACTAAAATTCAACCAAAACTCAATTCAAGTTAGCATTCTGAGAGCATATCCATATTAAGGTTATTAGGGTAGTAAGCGTGTGAAGTAACTTTTTTATGCGTTGCTTTTCAGGAGTAGAAGGTTTACCAGTCTTAGGTGACTAAGCAGTTTCACAAATAAACCCTCCAGCAAGTTTAAAAATAATTAGGCCCAACTCAGAGGAAGTGGAGTTTCTCCTGTTGCACAAAAAAGATGTCTAGCGGCTCCAGTGAAGTTGATGTGGTTTGTATTTCAAGTTGAAACTCTGTCTTTGTTTTTTTCATTTGCTATCGTTCTTTTGTAAATTGAGTTTAATTTCATGTAGTGAAATGCATAGTTCATAAGTGAATTTTCTGTCATGAATTTTGACAGTGATGTATAAAGCTTCTATGACCATTCATGTACAAGTTTCTTTGTGAACACGTACTTAAATCTCTTCTGGGTAAATACTCAGAAGTTGAATTACTAGGTCATGAAGTTCATGTAAATTCAGTATTATAAGAGTTTGCCAATAGTTTTTCAAAGTGGTTGTGCTGTTTTTACATTTCTGCTACATTCTGCTATGTTTCTTAATCCTTGAAGTTGAATCAAAGTATAAATTATTAAACTATATATAATTTGGCTTAACAGAAAACACATTTACTCAGTTACATAAGGATATGGATATTCATGCTACCTAAGTAGTCTAGGCCTGCAGTCCCCAATCCCCCGGCCTCAGTCCGTGGCTGCCCATCGCTACCTGAGCTCCTCACCACACTCCCCGCCACCCCCCATCATGTCTTCCATGAAACCATCCCCTGGTGCCAAAAAGGTTGGGGACCGCTGGTCTAGGCAATTCTCTTAACTTCTATCATCCCAAAAGTTTTTCAGAAATCTTTGGAGATAATATAAACTGTTTACCAAGAGTCATTTTTCTCTGACATAATTATGTGAAAGCACTTTGAAAAGCATAAGGCACTATATACAAAGGGTAAAGGTGGTACTAATCTATAGCCCAATTCCATATTATTTTGGTTCTCTAATCAGTGCAAGGCTAATTCAGGTGATTTCTATCATATTTTGAAACAAAGACATACATGGCTACCAAGTATGTTTATTTAAAAATTATTTTCTATAGTTCATAATTTATTCTTAAGGAGTTATTATTCTGAAGTGTAATGGTTATTTACTCTCTGTTTACTAAGTTACACCCTGACTTATTCCCCATAAAAGTTTCAAGGTGATCTAGAAATTGATTTATCAAGAAACATAGGTGCTTAAATGTTTCCTATCTTGTCCACAGAGTGGCACTGTTAGATTATTTAAAATCAAAAGCCATGTAACATTTAGTTATTTGTTCATGGTTAGAAATATTTGCTTGTAAAGCAGTTCTTGTACTAGAAGACTAGTCTTTTTACCCTGAAGTACATTAGGGGTTAATCTCAATGGAAACAGCACCTTAAGTGTAGTTAGGTTAATGAGGAAACATTTTTGCAAATACATCTTTTCATGTAGTCATAGTATTAACTATGAGCAAAGGTCCTTTGATATCACAAATAGGCCTTTGGAGCTCTTGAAAGTGAAATTGAAGCCCTCAACTTTTCTTTTAGTTCTATTTTTCATCTTTCTTTTTAATTTGTTAATAAATCTTCCCCAGATAAGAACTCGAATACCTGCTTATGATGATGATAATACTGTTCTTTATGCATATGAACCACATACTGCATATATCAATAAAGTAAGTAGTATTAATTGCTAGTTGCCAAATATCTTAAAACTTACCATTTTAAGGAAAAAGATTTAAATTTCTCATATACTATGGAGTTCTCTAAACTCACACTCAAGAAAATTTCTCTTGAATTTGTATGCTTTCTTCATTAGACAATGAGCTCTTTATTTCCCCTTTTGTATATATAATAGGAAATTCAGAGAAGTTTTGTATTCATTTTTTGGTACAAAACTCTAAACCTATATTCTTCAGATATAATAAATTCTTTCCTTGCCCCCTTTCTTAATTGGCAGTTATCATTTTCATTCTCACATTAATGTGAATTTTTATTCTATCTCTGCTTTAGATTAAGACTTCTGAAACCCTTTGAAAAGTTGGTGAAAAATAAAAACAGTTCAAATAGATAAATAATAAGTTCTTTCCCCCAGTGTTCAATTTGGCTCTTACAAAAGTAAAGCTTTGACTATTTACTTTAAAAATATTAGCCAGAACATGTTCAATCTGGGACATCCTGCAACGAAGAACAACAAAAAACAATGCTGGATATCCTCAACCAGTGCCAGGTATGGAAGTTCAGTCTCTTCAATGTAGTTTTCTAAAATGTTAAGTGAAAATTCTCTTTATTTCATATAGAGGGAAAGTATACAATTGAATGAAATTTTTTCATATCAAATTATTTATGATTATCACCCATTTTGATGATTTTTAACAATATATAGTTAGAAGAGCATCCCTTGGTGAAAATTTTGGAATAGGAACATAAAGATTCTATAGATTTTTTAAAAGCCGGTTACTGATCAGATGTAGTTATGCCTCTTTCGTCTAGATTGCTCAATATTGAATTAATTTATCCTCCAAAATCTTTAAGGGAAATTGGCTGTTTTGGATGACACTTAGCATGTGCCTAAATGCATATCAATATATCTCAATTGAAACAAAGATAGCCCATCAGTGTTTTGTAAAGAGTATATCTTCTGTTTCGAGCGGATTTGTAAAGATAAGCATGTTGGTAGTGATGGCCAGAGGTATGTGATTACCATGAATTTTGTGAGCTGCATACCTCAGAGGTAATGAAAGTTTTTTTTAAAAAAGGAATAAATGTTTCTTAACATATTAAGTTTCTTGAATGAGATGAGTTAACACGCTTTGAAAAGTGAAAGTGTTTGTCTGGGTCTTTATCATTAGCAAGGCAGAAGTGAATGTTTCCAAGGGACACCTGCAGCTGGCCAGATGAGGGGAAGGAGGGCCCAGGTGGCCCAGGTGGGCTGGAAAGGGAGGAGCGGGCTCTCCTGCCTGCCTTACCCCTCCCCTGAGGGTCCTCTGTGGGCAGCCTAGGTCTGCTCAGCACGGGTAAGAGCTGGGCTGGGAGGTGCCCAGGGCCAGAGCCATGACCTGAAATGGCCCGAGTGCTCCTTTCCGTTGCCCCCCAGGGATGGCTCTTTCCTTCCTCCACCTCTCCCTTCCCATTCTAGATGCTTTGACCTGCTTCTCTTTCCTCCCATTCCCTCCACTGAGCCCCTTGTCCTTGCTTTGCACCCTCTTCTGTCCACCCCTGCCCTGTTCAGGCTGGGAGCAGAGGAGGATGCCCTCCACTGGCCGTCCCTGCTCAGTCACCCTTCAGCAGCCCCAGGGAGTCCCTGCCCACCCCACCCACCCAGGTGCTGCCGCTTCTCTCCTGTAGCAGTCCCCTCCCCTCCACATCCTCGTTCCTGTCCCCATAGCCCACGAGCCAGCCCGACCCCATCCTTCTCACCCCCTTTGCGACTACTGCACTGAAAGGTGTCTCCCACTGTCAGGACTGACACCTGCTCTGGTTTCTGCATCTGGCCCTCCATCAGGCTCCAGCCTGCTCCAGCTCCAGCCCTGTCCTTGTCACACCTTCCCCTTCTCACAGCTTTAAAAAGCCACTTCTCTTGCCTCCCATCCCTCATCTGTTATCACTTCACTCTCTCACCTCTCATGACAGCCCAGTTCCCGCTGTGTCATTGATAGTCACTGTCCACGTTATCTGGTTTCCTCTTTTTCTTTCTGAGTATTTTAGAACATGCTGCTCCTCCTGCCTGTGTGCCCAGCCATGCGTCTTCACCTAGTGAACACATTCTCGTCTTTTCATTCTCAACCTGACATCACCTTCTCTGCAAAGCCTTCCATGACTGCCAGCCTGGGTTAGGTCCTTCTCTTCTGTGCACACTTAGCCTCCTGTTCTTACCTGTGTCATGGCACTGGTAATACCAGTAAAAATAATAATATGATTATACCATTGAGCACTGTTGGACCAACAGTAGTCATTGTTGGTATTATATTAGCATGATACTCTAGCAAGGTTCCTGTCCTCAAAAGCACATTAAGAGATATTTTTATCCGATTCCCTACATAAAGAAATTGAAACACAGAGAAGTTAAGTAACTTGCACAAGGAGTTTCTTGAGGTGGGGGTGATGCAAAGCCCTTTTCCTGACAGGCCATAGATCAGTACCTGGCCGTGGCCTGGAGGTTGAGGACCACAGGCTTGGAGGAAATGTAGTACATTCCCTTTCCAGCATTAGATCTTCCTCAACACCTGCATGGAATAGCGTGGTGGAGGGAAAGTTGGGGCTCCTTAGCTCAGCCATTCAACTCCGTGTCTCCTACAGCCAGGCCTCAAGTAGGAAGCAAGACATTTCTGAGGGCTTGAGAACTTTTATTGTGTCTAGCAGTTAAAATTTGACTTAATTGTATTTTCACATGTTACTTTTCTTTTGAAGTAGAAACTACTAATAGCTTGTATTACAATAGGCTATAAACGATGCCATCCAAAACCTGGATAAGAAGTGTGATGTTATTCATGGAAAGGTTTCAAAAATCTATCGGTGCCGTGCGAAATCATTGTGGCAAACTCGTGTAAGTGTTATAAAAAACATTTTCAGAGCTGCGGTAAGCCTCTGGTTTCTAAAGATGCCAATCAGTTAGAAGTGATAGAGAACTAGTAAGATTAGCCAGGCTAATCTCAGTTTATTACTTCAATAGCAGACGGAGGACTGAACCTCAGTTGGAAGTTTAGGTTTGATAAATTATGACATTGGAATTTTTATGTTTGTAAGTATAATGTATAAAATACAAGTAAAATGCAGGGTTGAAGAGATATAAAATTAATCATGTAATCAAAAGAGAGCATTTATTTTTAATAACGTAAAGCAATGTTGCATAGAAAATAAATATTAATGTATTTACTACTCAGTTTACTTTCTTTTTTACTCACTGTTGATTCATGCTGGGTTTGTGTGATTTCAGAAGCCGCATGGACATGCACACAAAAATAATTACCAGCATTCTAGAAAACAAAAATTCCAGAAAATAAGGAAGAGGGAGCAGCTTCACAGTTCATTCTCCTACCCTGAAAGTTATAGCCCCACTATACCAGTGGGAAGGCGGGATATTGATTCCCAGAGCAACCCTCCAGAAACACCTTTTAATTCTGATGAATCCCCGGAACCAGAGCATGATTCACTGCTCGAGGAGCAGGAGCGGGATGCGGCCCTTGCCCATAGTCCATCGCTCTCCTCTAGTTCGTATCAGCCATCTTATGTACCTGATGATGCCCAAATGCCGAGCGCTGACGGGCCCTGCTTTAGCAGCCCCAGGGCTGGCAGTACCGGCGGCCTCTACTCACCTACCCGAGCTTGCTCAACAATGTCTCCAGGCATTCTGGCCCAAGGAGAACCCAGTCCGGTACATAACCCTGAGATGATGAATTACTCAGATTTAATGGAAAATAGACATGCCGTGTCATCTCTCTGCGTGCCATGTGGTTTAGGTGAGTTTGAAATGACACATGTTACAAGTAGTACTATTAATATTTAATCTGTTTTCATAAACATCCTTGATGCAAGCTAGTGGAAGCTGTTTGTTTCCTGTTTTGAAGGCTGGTTTTAGGTGATATTCAGAATGATGGCTAACATTTGTTGAGTGTGTATTATGTGCAAGGCACTGTGCCAATCAGCTGATGTGCCTCTTCTCCACTTATAATGACCCTGTGATGTTGGCACTTTTATTGCTGCTATCCCCAAAGTCACAGAGCTGGTGAGTGGCACTCCCCAAACTTCACTCCATTGTGAATTTTTTAATCTTCTAATTTTGTTTACCCTTTCCCTGGATAATTAACTCAAAACGCTCCTGAAATGGCAAGAGCCCAGAAGATATGAAAGAAAGGGTATGTATGCCTTTGGCTAATTCACACATAAAAATGATCATTTGTGTTGCTGATCCTTGTTTGGAGAAACAAAGCTTCCTAGCTCATTACAGAACTCACTTCACAGTTATCGCACTAAGTTTAGGGAGCCGAATGCTCTTGCTAAGTAAGCAAATACTTCTCAGGACACAAAGAAATTTCAACACAACTTAGTGAAGAACACAGCTAAAACCTTTTGAGGTATAATCACTTATATTGTTTCATGTCTTAGTTATTTCTTTTTTAACATATAAAACTTTGACCAAAATACCTATCACTGTGCAATTAAATGTGAAAGAGGAATTAAATAAAATGATAGTTACTTCTGATCTAGCTCAGCAGAAAATAATCTTGTTTTCTTCAAAATTCAGATTAGCATTTAAGCCATGAGAGATAGGAATCTAGAATAAAGTGATGCTAAAAATAGCCTTATTGATTACTTAGGGGAGATTTGGTAAAAGAACTAATTTGGTTCTCAAAAATAATGAAATTATTATTACTGAAATTCATTGATTAAAATGAAGACATTTAAGCAATTATAAAACTGTAAATTTGGGGAATTTCCATACTATTTAGCTAGTAAAATAAACCTAAGACAGAACAAAAGAGATCAAGAGAGAGATTGAGAGAAAGTCATTGAAATACTTCAAGTAAGAGAGTCATAGGGTAGGTTAGATTAGCCTAATTTTACCCAAGTAACAGATCTTTTGCTTTATTTGCCTGTGGCCAAAGAAGCCTTGGATTGCTTGATCCATTTTGTGGTCTTTGAAGCTTTAAGGTAACTTATAAACATGCTTTTGTTGTTTGGGGTGGTCAGATGGGATGCTCTGTGTAGCCATGCTCACATCATCTTTTTTTTTTTTTTTTTGAGACAGAGTCTCACTTTGTTGCCCAGGCTAGAGTGAGTGCCATGGTGTCAGCGTAGCTCACAGCAACCTCAAACTCCTGGGCTCAGTGATCCTACTGCCTCAGCCTCCCATCACATCATCTTTTTATAGGCTTTCACTGGATTTTACAGTTGGAGTCTTGAGTACTTTCTGGAGTACTTAACAGAATATTCCAGGAATGAGACCATTATTCCCTACCTAACACGTCTTCTTTCAGGATAATGGTCAGGTCAAATATGATTTGTCTTGTTTTCTCTCCATTCAAGTTACAAGTTCACCAGTTGAACGTGACCCTGGTATCCTGAAACAAGGCTTTTCTGAGGACCCTTCAACCTGGTCTGTGGAAGAAGTGATCCTGTTTCTGAAACAAACAGATGCTCAGACATTAGGCCCTATTGCTGACCTCTTCAGACACCATGTAATGTATCTTTCTGTCCAGTTTTCCTGCCATAATGCCTTGGAATGACCTCTGTGCAGACCCTTCAGTTGGGTTCTGATTAGTGTAGATGGTGGGGGAACCCTGTCAACTGATTTTCCATATGTAAGAAAGATTATGTTAGTGGTCTGTTCCTTAAATGGGTATTCAAGTGCCTAATACACAAACAGCCACAAGTTCTCAAGAGATGATGGTTGAGCATCACCACTTTCAGGTGTACCTACCCTTTGTAATGACAGATACAAGGATCCTCCCCCCACCCCCCACTCCCAGCTCAGCCTCAGGGCCATGAGTAAGAGGGAGTGCCCACAAGCTATAACAGGGTGCCCTTGTTGTGATAATACACAATGAATCCAGCAACTGATCCCATTGGGCTTAGTTATTGATGATTTGTAAGGCTGATACCCTCAGGCTGTTACCAGACCTTTTTTTTTTACAGCGTAGTGTCATGGGCTCAATTTTTGTAAGTTCTAATTTCTTTAATTTCAAGTTTTATTAATACTTAGTAGAAAAAGTATAGAAGGTACCTGACAAATGTTGTACTGTAAGGGATTACAGGTCTTTTCAGACAGTGTTTTTACAGGAATAAGTAAAATTTTAATTTTAAACTGGAACTTATGAAAACCTAATAATATGTTTCAGCGGCATAAGCAGGTCAATTAAAATAATTAGGGATCTTAGGATGCCTCATAACTATCAACAAATATTTTTATAGTGTGTCCTAAAAACAGGTCAGTTAAGATAATAAGGGATCTTAGGATGCCTCATAACTATCAACAAATATTTTTATAATGTGTCCTATAAACAGGTCAGTTAAGATAATAAGGGATCTTAGGATGCCTCATAAATATCAACAAATATTTTTATAGTGTGTCCTAACAAAATTACCAGCTACATACATATCCAATGTACTCTTTTCAATATGGTAAGAAAGTCAGTAGTTTTAGTATTGAATTAGATTCAGACAGCTAACTGACTTTCATCGCAAAGGCAGTAGCATACAGCACATATACAGTCTACACTGATGTTGACATACTCCTACTCTCAGCCCTTCTCAGAAAGTTAATGATCATCTGAAATTCATTTTTACTATTCATAGTTTTTGCTCTTTTGTCGTCATAGGTATATAGTATTTTATTCAACATACAGTATGCATTTAAAATGTAGTATGACACAGTTCATTTTTTTAAGATACTAGGTTAATTTTCCTTTTTCTTAAAACCTGGAGTGAATTTATAAATTATGAAATGATGCTTCACTGTACAAATTATATTTTTAATAGCTTTTTTCATAAAGTAGATGCACATTCAGAGACTATACATCTGGGATGAGCTGCTCTCTAATTTGCTTTCCATTTTCCTATATAGAAAGGAATAACCATTCTGGCAAAATATGAAAGCATTATTAATTATTGTAAGTTCCTTCTCTCCATAGGACATCGATGGGAAGGCTCTGCTACTGCTCAAGAGTGACATGATGCTGAAGTATATGGGGCTGAAGCTGGGGACAGCTGTGAAGCTATGCCACTACATTGAAAGACTGAAAGAAGAAAAATACTATAAAGAACAAAGATACTATGAAAATTAAAAAATGTTTGTGCAAATTTAGATTAGGCTTACTTTTATCGGTACCAATGCCTTCTTAATGTAAACTCATTTTACTGCCCTTAGTAGTGCCTCTAAAAATACGTTATATCCAGAATTACAGAACTATAGTACAGTCCAGTCTACTTCTTTAAAAACCATATAACATGTTAGTATTAGCATGTTCAAATAGAAAATTTGTTCTTTACGTTTTATTATTTTCATTGTATAGTTTAGAAATATACTTCATGCTAGAAACAACAAAAAACCTTTCATTTTGGTTCATCATTATATTTAGAACCAAAACAGCTGAAAAAAGAAATATCAGGGATTGATAACTTCTATAATTAAATCCATGAGAATTCTTCCTCAGAAGAGAATTTAAAGGTACACCTATAAATATCTCTTTCTCAAACACTTTGTCTGATACTACAATGCTTTTCTCATGTTCTACCGGTTTCCATAAATGGGATAGCCATATAAATTATTTATCTGTTATTATTTTTATATGTTTTATTTATTCAGATTTAGAGAAAAATTTATAAGCTTTTAAAAAGTGTTTTTACCCATTTTGGGATAAATTATAGGATAGAATGGTTGTTTTATGCAAGAGATATTGTATTGCAGGGGAGGTGTGGATGAAGTCACACTATTTTTTTAAAAGAAAGTATGTATTAAAACTTCTGTATTTTGGCTAAGTTTGGACATTTAACTACATATTCATTGTTCACATCTCTCTATGAAGATACCTTTGTCCATGTTTTTTTAAAGATTCATATTTTATTGTATGTGTTTATTCATATAGAATTTTATTATATGTTTTATATTCATATTTTATTCTAACATGAAATATGCATACAAGTAAAGCTTTTCTTTTTGAATTTAAAATGGTACTTTGTGCCACCTCAGAGGTAATGATGAACCATATATTGAAAAGGTTTTTTATTCCATATAATATAAATGCATCATTCTCCATCACCAGTACCTCTTGGCTTACTCTTCAGGGAATAAGAAACAATCTGTAGATTGGTTTCCATACAGGGAAGTTCTCTGTCCTATCCAATGCTTGTAATAAATTTGCTTAGTTATGAGTCATTTATCCTACTAAACTTTGGAAGATCCATTAGTTCTGACTTACCATTTTGGGCTTTATTTTATAATTTAGAACTTTCAAGGGAAATACACTCATTATTTTGTTATTTTTATTACTGTATAACAAATATGTTTATAAGCTATGAGAATTGGTGCTAATAGTATTAGCCATTTGTTATAAATGTCAACAAAATGTTAACTAGGTGCAAGAATGTACATTTTCTTTTTAGAAAAACCAATTGTACTTTATACACAAATGCAACTATTTACTGGGTACATGTGGTTCAAAGAGTGGCTTCATCTGTGTCATTCCTTATGTGGTCTAAGACAAGATTCTACCTTAAACTTGATCTTCTTTCAAATTGTTTGTATGAAGATGCTGTACCAAGTTGAACAGTCCTCAGGTGTTCATATAACTACTATGTTTTGCAATTTTCATATTTTAAAATACAATAAAATTAAATAACTGCAACATTAATGTCAAAGCCTCAGGTTTGGTTTTACTTACTTTCGCTGCATTACATTAATGTATGAATGTATTAGAATTGAAAAAGAGCCACTCTAGTAACTAGTTTGTGGCTTTATATCTCCAAAGACTTGAATTTTTATTTTTCTATTTTTGTACTTTTTTAAAATTTAGTTCAGCATATTATGAGGGTACAAATGTTTAGGTTACATATGTTGCCTTGCCCTCCACCCCCATACTTGAATTTTTAAATCTGCCCTGATTCTACCGTAAACAGATACCTAGGAGCAAAGAGCTGATTTCTTATCGGGGCCTTAAATGAGACCCAGGGGGCCTGTAAGAAGTTATATCAACGAGCTTTATCTCTGCTCATAATACTATGGATAATGTGAGCATGCTAGAAAATGCCAGTGCCCCTCAGATATCTCATCCCGTCTGAGTTCACACACCTGGCTGGCAACTCTGGTGGGCGCCAGAGGCCGCCTCCCGGGTGCACCTGCTGTTGGCCCTTTGCCTTCAGATGGCCCAGCACACGTCGCGGGATATCCTCGGAGATTCAGGGTTACAGCTGAGTAGCCTTAATTATCTGCCCTCCACCCCCACTCCAGGAGCCTCTGCTCCATGCCGAGGGCCCCAGAAACTCTTAGTGCTGTTGCTGCTCAGCAGTGTGTCCTGCTGTTCACTGGAGACAGTGGGGCCCTGACTGAGGCTCCAGGGATGATGATCAATGGGCTGGACCAGGAGTGCCAACTTGAGTGGTCTGAGACTTGGGTAATTAGGTGCCCCTTTTTTTCCCTATCTGGTTTGTAAATTTTTAGTTCAGAGACTATCATGCCATATTACCCTTCACGTGCATTTTCCAGGCTTCTCAAATGATCTTTCCTCATGCTTTTCCTCTCAGTCCATCCTTTGACCCTCCAAAGCCAGCAGAATTCTGTACCTTGAGCTCTAAGACCTTCCAGGCATACCTAACATTGTGTTGGTCTTTCGTCTGTGTGATTTCTCACTGTTGGAATGTCTTAGAGTACATGTTCTAGAGTGAGATTTCCCACACTGTTAAACCTAGGCGTCCTATGGGCATAAAAATGCCATGCCCTTCTGTAATATTTGAAATTAAAACGTAAATATTGTGCCTAGTAACAATGTAATGAGAAAAAAGCACTGCTTTTTCATGCTACAGAAAGGATTGTACTCACGGTTGGCTGAGTAAATGAAATAGGTTTAAATTTCTGGGGGCTCTTTCTGCAGCCTGGTGCTGGGCCTTGTGTACAAAGTCCTCTGATGCTGATCCAGGCGGAGAGGGAGGGCTCTAGGCTAGAGAGGACGTACAGACGGGCGCACCATTGCAGTGCGTGGAAGACAGTTTTCCTTCCTCTCCCTCGCTGGTGTTTGCCCCGTTTTGTCCGTCAGGTTGATGAAATTGGACCTTGAGAGCAACTCCCCACAGTAAGCACATACTCGGGCTGAGCTTGGCCACTCTCACTGCCGACCTAGAGGCAGCTCTAGTGTTACAGCGTCGCGGTCTCTGGCTTAGGGGCACTCTCAGCACTGAGGGGAGATCCTCAAGAAATAAGGGACCTGACTCCCAGGACCCCTTGAGCTGCCTAGAACATAATTGAGTTGAACCAAGATTCACGAAAAGGAGAACCTCAAGACGCTTATGATAGAGCATGTGAGTCACCCCCAAGTGACAATAAGTGGTGTGTCACAATGCTTCAGTAGTTGTGTGTCTCATTCTTCAGCCAAAGAACCAAAGCACTTAAGCACCTTTCTTTGTGGAAATAATCCCTCGGGCAAGGGGGCGGCCAGGGCAGGGTTATGGCCTCTGCAAGCCCCACTCCACCTTTGGCCTCACCTCTCCACTTGCTTTGGCTGGCCTTGGATGCTCAAGTCCACAGATGTCAGGGGCAGGGTGGGGTGTGCACACTCTACTGGGGTAGAAGTCAATTCAGTGGGAGCAGGACATGTATATTCCACCTTCCTTTTGTATTCACGTAAGAGGAGAGAGGGGAAGCTTCTCTGCAGTTAACATATGTCTTCACTAGTGTAGAGTGTGCAAAAGTGCTGCACATTGTCGGTACCTGCCACCATCCCAGCTCTTCTCAGTTCCTCCCCATTAGAGGCATAAACCCTGGAAGCAACACTTCCACCCTCCTTTGCCAGTAGAGTTGGCTTCTTAGATTCACGCCCTGTTGTGATTTTGGAAGGAGGAAGGTAAGGAGAATCACTTTCCCTCTGGTGGCTGCACAGGCCAGGCCTTTGAGTGTCCGTGGCAGATGGGTTTGCCAGCGGCCTTTGGCTGTTGTCTTGGTATTCACTCCCTTCAGTTGTGCACTTGAGACCATGGGGAAGCTTCCCTGCAGCCCTTGCCCTCCTGGATTTCTAGAGACTTCCTCACCTTGGACCCCAGCCTTCCCGCAGCTGTATAAGCTGGTAATGTATTAAACCACCTCCATTCTGAAGACTTAGAATGGCTTGTGTGTTCCTCGATGAACCCTGACTCATTCACCTCCCTCAGCATGTCCGTCCTATAGAGGTTGCCCACTGTTCAGAGAAGTTCCACAGAGAGGGGCCTTTATATTACTATTACTTCGTTTAAATAAACTAGTATAGACTAAATCTAAGACTCCTTTGATTGTAAGATGAGACATTGTTTAATGGACCAAATAGGAAAGGAAATGCTGTCTATTAAACGATCACTGACCATTGATTATAATATGTAAACCAATTCCATAGATGCTAAAATGTGCAAAAAATGGCTGGCTTAAGACATAAAATGTCCACTCTCAAAAGCTGAACAGGTGGTTGTAAAAGGTTAATGCAAAGAAACTGCATTAACTGAATTGGAGGTGAATAATGTAAGCCCAAGGGAACAGCCAGAAACTGGCAGAGCTCATCTGAGCTTTGCAATGATCACAGTACAAATTAAAACAAAAGCAATCTAATCAGATCTGCCCAAACTCACAACTGCAAAGGAGACTTTGAAATGTGACATTATATCCATTGTCATAAGCAAAAAGCCTTATCGTAAACGTATGTTTTCCCTTTAGGCATTAGCTGATATAGGATGAAGCCATCATATTTTTTTTTATTTCATCATATTATGGGGGTACAAATATAGTTAAGGTTACATATATTGCCCTTGCCACCCCCCCCCCCGTGGTGCCCATGGTACTCATTAGGTAAGTATACACCCATCCCCTCCTCCCCCTTCCCACCCGCCCAACACCCGATAAATGTTTCTTTTTCTTTTTTTGACATTTTGGTTACATTTTATATCTTTGCCTCTCCCTAGGAAAGGTTAGAGGAAGGCCCTTCCCCTTCACAATGCTCACCACATCCCTAAGATGTGGATCTACCTCCCCTCTCCCGAATCCCTGGTGAACACTACCACCATTTGAGCACCATAGTTTTAATCAGTCAGTAACAATTTGATGGCGAGTACATGTGGAGCCCATTTTCCTGATCCTGCATCGCCTCACTTTGGATAATGGGCTTAAGCTTAATCCAGGATAGTATAAGCGGTGCTAGCTCACTGTAATTTCTTAGAATTGAGTAATATTCCATTGTGAACATATGCCAAATTTTAATTATCCACTCATGAATTGACCGGCACTTGGGTTGTTTCCATGTCCTTGCAATAGTGAATTGTGCTGCCATAAACATTCAGGTGCAGATGTCTTTATAATAGAATGTCTTATGCTCTTTTGGGTAGATGCCTAACAATGCTATTGCTGGGTCGAATGGTATTTCTATTTTTAGCTGTTTGAGGTATCTCCTAATTCTTTTCCACAAAGGTTGCACTAATTTGCAGTCCCACCAGCAGTGTAAGAGTGTTCCTGTCTCTCGAATCCTCGCCAGCATTTGTTGTTTTGGGATTTCTTGATACAGGCCATTCTCACTGGGGTTGGTGGTATCTCATTGTGGTTTTGATTTGCATTTCTCTAATGATTAGAGATATTGAGCATTTTTTTTAATCAGGCCATTATTCTGTCTTCTTTGGAGAAGTTTCTGTTCATTTCCATTGCCCATTTCTTGATGGGGTTGTTTGATTTTTTCTTGTTAATTCTTTTGAGTTCTAGATAGATTCTTGTTATTAGACCTTTATCAGGAGTGTAGAGAACAAATATTTTCTCCCATTCTGTGGGTCATCTATTTGGTCTAATGATAGTTTCCTTGGCTGTGCAGAAGCTTTTTAGTTTGATCAGATCCCATTTATTTATTTTTGATGCTGCAGTGATTGCCTTGTGGGTCTTCCTCAAGAATTCTTTGCCTAGAAGCCATCACATTTTAGCAAGACATTTAACAAATGCAATCCATTAAGGGAAAAAAGAGAAAGTTAGAATGATTATAGAATACATGTCAACCACACACAATGCCAGGATCTAGTTTAGGTCCTAATGAAAAGAAGCCAACAGTGAAAAGGCATGTATGAGACAATCCAGGAAAAAGTGATGTTAGATGACACTAAAGAGTTATTCATTTTGAACAATGGTGCTAATGGTATTATGATTATATTTTGAAAGGGTGGTGCCCTTATTGCTTAGAAATATATTATAAAATTTTACAAATTAAATGAGGTGATATCTGGGATTGCTTTGAAAGAATCCACCAGGGAAGGAGGTGTAGATGAAACAGGAGTAGTTTGATGTTGATAGTTGTTGAGGCCATACATGGGAATGCGTTATACAAATATCTACTATGATGTATGTTTGAAAATTTCTATAATAAAAAGCCTAAGAAAAGTATTCAGAATATGAAGACACATTGCTCTATGTTTTTCAGAAATGTCTAGAGAAAAGCAAAATTCAATCTATCAAGAATTTCAGTAAATTAATGATAAATATTTAGACTCCCTTGCTTGACATTTCTTAGTATTAGCCAAAAACAGGCCACCTACAACTAAGAAACACCTGTTCTTCCTGATGTGGTTAAAAAGGAAACAAAGTTGAAGTAATAGGTATAAAACAATAGGGTGCAAAGTTAAAACATCAGGAAGAATTGAAGACACGAATCTAGGATAAATCACAGCATGGCAGGCGTGCCATTCTGTTGCATGAAAATACAGATGTTTCTGAAACTCGTCAGCTTATGGTGGGATCTGAGGGTGCTTTCTGGAAGAAGCGATGATCAGAAAGGGAAGGCCTTCAGCCCTTCACCCCCACCCTCCACACTCTGCCCTCTTAAATGTGCCTCCACCTCTCCCACCTTCTGGTGAATCCCTGGAAGTCTTACTGCCAGGCTTGATCGCTGCAAAGTTGCTAGCAGTCTCTCAGTTTGTTTATCCCAGTTATTATCTCTATAATTATATTTGCTTTTCAGACAAAGGGATTAATTTCCCTTTCCATTCTTTTGTGCCCTATGTAATTCTCTTCCATATTACTGAAAAGCCCTCATGACTCATATTTACCAATACGCCTTGTTCCCTGTGTTCACAAGTCTCTCCCTGCCAGGAGATCCCACCCAAATCTACATCACCATGAACCATGTCACTACCAGGTGGCTTTCCATGTATCACAAAACCCTGCTTTTGCCCTGGTAGTTCACACTCTTAGAGCAGCCCTTGACGCGTTGTCAGCAGTTGGCATCACTGTCACCTCCACAAAACAAAAAATCTTTTGTGGCCTAGTGTCGGAAGTGACAGACGATTGCTTCCGCGGTTTCTATCGGTCGTGCAGCTCTGCCCTGACACGCTGGGAGGGCGCATCGCACGGGAGTGTGAGCGCCAGGAGGCAGGAGCGTTGAGGTCATCCCAGAGGCTGACGCCACCCGTGAAAAATGTTGAACTTAACCCGTAATTGAAGAAATACTAAGTAAAACAGGATGTATGTGATTCTTCACCTCTTAAAACTTTAGCAAAGGTCAGAACTAGTATACACATACTAATATGACTACACATACTAATGGGACATAAATTTGGTGTGACATGTCCAGAAGGTAGTCTGGCATTACATACAAAAAGCCTCAAAAATGCTCATGCCTGTTGACTTAGTAATGTCACTACTTCAAATTTATCCTGCAGAAGTCACCATCTGCTCAAACAGAAAGGTT